CATTCTTTAACAGGGCAACTGGATCATTACTGCCCGCATTAATCCTGCTTTCAGATACACCTAACAATGAGCCATCATTTAAGGACGGCCTGCATGTAGTTTGAGGACTATAACTTGTAGTTTTACCACAACTGTTGTTTTAGCCCCAGCCAAACCTAGTCTAAGATACTTGATTATGGTGGAGGAAGGGTGTTTACCACTGCACCCACTCTTTTCACACGATTCCAGTGAAGAAGTGGATCCAAGATATCTAAGTAGCTGCAGTGGATGGCAAGTACACTGATCCTGCCATTTGTCACAGTCCACTGCATTGCATTGTGTCATATTTGCTGGAAGATCCAAGTACTTGTCAATGTCACCTTCTGCCTCAATAGACTTTGTTTCGCCATTCCAGCATCTGTCCCTCCATTGTGAAGGTTCACCGTGAGAAGGGATAAATAGGATTTCAAATAATTGAATGTAGACCAAAAGAAGACATCTGGCCAGAAGCCAGCCTCTCCTTTGTAAATGAAGCATCAGCTTGGACTCACCAGTACACAAGGTGAGAGTTGCCCCATAACCTTTGAGCCCAATTTAAATGACAAATATAACAGCCGAGGTATCACATTTTGCAAGCTCAGTTAAGCAAAAGAAAAAGTATTTCTTCATCAAAGTAAGGCACATTAAGTTAGATAGAAATCTTAAACAGTGCTGAAAGGAGATTGTCAGGTCTAATAAGTGACTTTCCTTTCATTAAGTGACTGGAGAGACATGACAATGAGGTGGATGTGCAGTGACTCTGTTACATTGCAACTACATACATACAATTAGTTATATCTAATCAATCTCATCAATTAATTGAAGAAAAGTGGCCAAGTGTCTTTACTGCATCCAATACACCACACTCAAAAATGCCGCAACAGTTTTAAGTGTTGTGCTCAACAAAAGAGAAACCTGTGAATTTGACTACTTAGCTTCCCAGGCTTTCATTTCTCCTTTTGGTTGTGGCCTAAACGTTTTCACTGAATGATTTCCCAACCTTTGCATTAACACTTTGATTTGTACTCAGTAAATTGCATATTGCCTCCCAAGCTAAATCTGTGGAAATGTAGGCTCCACATAGTGACAAATGGAGGCCAAGCATTCACGCATAGTGAAAATCATGTGTCTCTGCTGAAATTCATCTTGTGTAATTCAACAAAACTAGTTTAAATGTTTCATATTCTTGCTGATCTTGGTCCCAAGACCGTTTAACTTGGCTTACATCATTTTAACCAAAACCAAATGCTCTCAGCCAAATAATTATCTTAGAAGTCTGCCAAGTCAGAACTAAATACTTTCCCCAAATCCAACAGAAGTAAATGCTGCCCTAGATATTCAAGTATAAAATAACCACCTATAATATGACCCACTGTTCAAAATTTCAAAAAGCTTAAGCTCAGCTCAAGTTTCCACTTCTTCCTACTCACCAAAGTTCTCACCTCTGTACTTTGTGCCATGCATCAATCTTTTAGTTTAATCAGTGCCTTGCTACCATCTGTTATTGTCAACCACAATCCCATTGGGCTTCTTCAACACTGTGATAGTGGAATATTATCTCATCATCCTGCCTTCAAACACAGATTCAGCTGCTAATTTGCTGCCGAATTGATTCAAGATTATTCCTAGGTAGTACGTTCCTAGGCAGCTCCTCACAGTTCAACTTATCATTGACCATCTGCTGCCATCCTTTGCCAACTGTCGACTAATCTCCTCGCTTTCACTGGCTAAATTAGTGGTGCATTCTAGCCATAAATGCAAGTGTACTACTAGTTTAAACTCTGAAAGCCCATCATCTGACCATGCCAGCTCTTGCTTTCTCTTCAGTGAGGACAGATCTTTTCAGAAATTCAACTTTCACATTTCTGTACTTTCCTAGATGCAGCGCTGAACCACTTTAGACTACACTGTACAATGCAGATGCCATTTGTCAGATTTTCCCTTTCAGTTCAGGAACATATGTCAAACCATTTATCAGCATCACTTTTGTGACTTCTAAGTGGTAGGTAACTCCCATGAGACTTTGGTCTTCAAGAGTCAGGATCAGACTGGAAGCAGATTCAAATTACAATAAAGACTTCAGTCGTTGGCATATTGTTTCAGTCCCACATATGGTTCTTAGCCCCCACCAAAGTCCTCACCTCCTCAGTCTCCTTGTACAGAAGATGAACTCTATTTATGTAATTTCTTTTTATTCTTTTTGTAACTCAAAATGGCGCCAGATTGTGTGGCAACAAAATACTTTTCACTGTATCTTTCTAGATATGTGTGACAATAAATAAATAAATCTGCAGCTGAATCTGCAGTCTCTGTAACCACCATCAGTTCCCATTGATATCCCCCATGCAATTTGAAAAAACAGATGTCTAGCTATTTGTCTACTTCTGTTGATACAAGATGGCCTCACCATGAATGTTACACTGAACTCCAAAACTGATGAAACTATTCAGATGTGGAAACAATGATCACACAGCTGTGAAGGTGCAAACTTCTTTATCTGTCAGTTTCATGAGTTTGTAATACATTTTTCTTTCCTTGGAATGGTTTATCAATGTTTGCTTGTTTATTTGGAAAAGATTAGGAGATGCTAAGAGGACTAAAATTTTGTTGATTAATACTATGAATGCCTGTGTTTGATTGATACTTTGATAAGGTATTTAGGCATAGTTTCTTTCAAAGGAGTTTTTAAAAGCTTGTTTGTTTATTTTGACAATTTCAAGAGCATTTCACAGATTTACCACTGCTATTATCTGGCTCATTGCCGAAGATAGTGGATACTGATGACTGAGGATAAAGGCATGTCAGCACGGTATGAGGGAATGGAAGGGGCAGGCCGTGGAAGGGAGGAGAGATATTGGGGTAATATGAGGTGATGTGGAAGGGGCTTAAGACTGTAAGCAGGCATTGTAAATATGAAAGTGCATTGGATAATCCTTTTAAACCTACTGGTTGAAATGTTCCTGAAGCCACAGCAATGAGTATAAAGTGGCTTATTTTATCTGATGCGTTTCCCACAACATTTAGGATCTCACCCGCCTTGGGCAAAATAATATGGAAGGAAAATTAAAATTCCAGCAGGGATTTTAATTGTGACCCCAACATCACCTCAACAGTGCATTGAATTGAAAAAACCTGAGAAAAATGGCAACGGGCAGGAAAGGCCTGGCAACTTTGAAAGTGCAACATCACACATCTTATACTTCGGCTTCGTGACACAGGTTTGCTCAATATCAGGAGGGAAAATTCTGGCCCTATGTCTTTGATCTGTTGCATGCTCTTTTGCTTAAATCTTAAATTCACTTTGATCAGTTTATCAATCACTGTTTTTCTCAAATGAGCCTTTGACTAGCCTGCTGGATCTGAGGAACAGTCATTGAGCTTGATTTTTAATTCCATTTTCGATTTACAGATGCTGCCTGCCTAACCTGCTTAGTAATTCCAGCACTTGTTCTTATTTCAGATTTCCAGCACCTGCAGTTTGTGTTCCAGCTTCAGCAACTGACTAGTTTCTGTCTGACATTTCCGATTCGTAGGCTCCGAAGAACACACATCTACTTCTTTTGGATGACCTGATAATCTGTATCTATAGTGCCACTTTTTTGAGATCTCCCCTATCCACCATCGCCATGCTGCCACCCCCAACCAAGCGTTTCTTTCTTCTTTTAAGATGCTCTTTTAAACATTGCTCTTTCTCAAATGTACCCGTGAAACATATTAGGAGTTTGTAGCTCATTAACTTTGTTAGGTAAATCGATCTTTAAAAATACAGAAACATAGAAAATATATGTGACTTAAGGGCCATACAAGGTCACATTCAGCCCATTGTATCCCTACCTACTATTCCGTACAATTCTACAATCTTCCAGCTCTTGGTAGATAGCCTTGTAGGTTACAGCATATCAAAACATTTTTTTTTAATGTGATGAGGAGTTTTGTCTTTATTACTCTTTCAAACAACATGGCCCAGACCTCCAACGATCAGCCTCTGGATGAAAACAATTATTTCCTAATTGCCTATTAATCCTCACCAGGCCATTAAAATCTATGCCCCTAGTTATTTACCTTTCTGTTAATGGAACTAACACCTTCCTATCCAGGCCGTCTAAGCTCCCCATAATTGTATGCATCCCTGCCTATTCTGTTCCAAAGAAAATTACTCCAGCCTACCTAATCGTTTCTCAGTCTAAAACATCTTCATTTCTGGAGGCATCCTATGAAATGTATGTATCCTCTGTAGTGCGAACGTGTATAATATTGACCAGAACCACATGCATTCCGCTAACTGTGATCTAACTAGTGCTTTATTTCACAGTTGTAACATGCCCCTTTATTATATGCCTCAGCCAATAGAGGATATTACCCAAATGCCTTATGACCACCTTAAGTGGCTCTCCTGCTAATTTCAGGGACTTGTGGATGTGCACTCCAAGGTCCCTTTGCTCCTTGATATTCTTAGCATCCTGCCATTTGTTGTGTATTTCCTTGTTTTTCCTCTCCAAAGGCATTATGTGACACATTTCCAGATTGATTTTTTTTATCATTTTACTGCCCACCTGAACAGTTCATTGATATTTTCCTGGAGTCTACGGCTTTCTTCTTCACTATCAGCTATATGATCTATTTCATGTAAACTGCAAATTATTTAATCAGGCTCCATACATTTAAATTTAAATCATTCATATATACCATGAACTGTAAGGACCCACTGCTGAGCCCTGTGGAAACCTTGTAGAAAAGGCATTTCAATGACAAAAAACCCATTGACCATAACTATTTGCTCCCAGCCACTGAGCCAAATTTGGATATAACTTACCATTTTCTATTGGATCCCATGATCTTTTAATTTTCTGACTGGTCTGCCAGGTAGGAACTTATCAAAAGACTGCATAAGATCCGTGTAGACTGCATCAAATATCCCAGTCATTGATTTTCTTTGTTACCTTCACTAAAAATGCTACCAAGTTATTTAGACATGACATTACCTGAACAAATCCCTGCTGAGTAGTTCTAAATGGGATTTACACTGTCTCTGTCAGATTTTCCAGTGAATTTTCGCACTACTGAGTTTTGGTTGACAGGTCAGTATCTAGTTGATATATCATTTTCCATATAATGCTACATTGTTGCAGTCCTCTGGAGTCACACCAGTAGCTCGAGAGGATAGGAAAATGATGGTTCAAGTTTCTCCTGTTTCTTTCCTTGTTCTTTCTTTGCACCCTGGAATATATTAACCTGAGCTAGTTACTCACCCACATTCAAGCATGCCAAACATTTTAATGTTTCCTTCCTCATGATGCTTATACCATCTAATATTTCACTCCTTAACTGCAAGGAATGCTTTGTCCTTCTCTGTGAAAACAGGCGCAAAGAATTAATTAAAGATTATTACCATATCCTGCACCTCCACACACAGATTATCTTTTGGGTTTATAATTTAATTATACCCTCAGTTATCCTGTTGCTCATAGTGTATTTATGAAACGTCAGTGGGTTTTTCTTGATTTTACTGGCAAGTACTTTTTCGTGCCTTCTCTTTATATTCCTATAGACATTGATTTTCATGAAGTCATGGGAACTCTGACTGGATCTGATAGTGGAGTGGCCTGGGATATGGTAGGGAGAGGGGTGGAAGGGAACATATTAATAAAGTGCAGTGGGAGAGTGATGGGTCCTGTGGTTGGAAAGGCACGTGGAGGGAGTGTGCCAACTAGCGGGTGCAGTTAGGTCAGAGAATGAGGGTATGTTGAGTCTGGTGGGGGCCAGACGAGGGGTGTGATGTCAAGCCAGAGGTGGATAGGTGTAGCAGGGTATTTACTGTTGAACGGTATATTGCTGTGGGTTCAGTGGTGAGTCAGAGCTTCAGTTTAATGGTTACTTAGGTGTTGGAACGGGTTTTTAGTCCTCTCAAATTTCCTGGGTAAACATTAGCCCTAAGTAATTTGGAATCATCCGAGATCTCTGACTTTAATTGGCTTTTTGGGAGAGCTTCAGACACGGATGAATTGCCCATCAGAATTTTAATCTTTTTTTAGTTTTTCATTTTTAAATTTTCTGGCATAACTCCATCTGTACTTTTTCAGCCAATGTGTGTGGACAGCATGAGATAAGAAAGTCCATTCAGGCTTCTTAGCTCCTCATTCTGAAAAAAAAGACCCACAGCCCCTCAACTGTAGTGTTCAATTATTTCTTAAATATTGTAGGGTTATGTGTACCCTACTCCACTGTGCAAGTATTTCCATGTACTTACAATTCCTTAGAAGAATCTCTAAATGAATTCCAAAGCACTTTATGGCTATGGGTTGCCTTAAGCTGATCAGGGCTGATTTTCTGATTTTTGTTTTGGGAGTGCAAACAGTAAACCCCTGCATGAAGTTCTATTCTATATCTCACAATGTACGCAAATTATTGACTGGATTTGCATAAAATCGTTAGAAATAGGAACAGGTGTAGGCCATTCAGCCCTTCAAACCTGCCCTGCCATTCAGTAGGATCATGGCTGATCTGACATTCCTCACGTCCACTTTCCCACACTTTCCCCATAACCCTTGATTACCATACTGATTAAGAATCTATCTATTGCAGCCTTAAATATACACAAGGATTCTGCCACCACAGCTCTCTGTGACAAGGAATTCCAAAGACTCACAACCTTCTGAGAGAAGAAATTCCTTCTCATCTCTGTCTTAAATTGGTGCCTCTTTATTCTGAGACCATGCCCTCTGGTCCTAGACTCTTCCATAAGGGGAAACATCCTCTCAATGTTTCCTACATAACAACAGTTGCTATATTTCAAAAGTACGTCATTAATTGGGAAGCGTTTTGGAATATCTTGGCATTATCTTTTTCAAATTTATATGGAAGAGAATAACATCAAGAATTGCTTACAATTCAGTAATAGAATGAAGCTATTATGCTTTTGAATTTGCTGCTAAAAGATTTGAAGGAAGCATGCTGCTGAAGTGCACTTTTATTCAGCTGGGAACAGCTGGAAAAATTGATTTTTGGGACTAATTGAAGGCATCATAATCATAACGCAGAGCCCACGAGGAGTCAGCATTAAAAGGATAATGGCTAAAACCATTTTCACTGCTCTTGCTGAGGTTATGCTAATAACTTGTGTTTCATTTATAAATTCCCACGCTGACTTACGTAAGTAGCAAATTGACAGAAATGAAAAGACCTGCTTGTCCATCAAGCCTGGTCTATACCAAAATAAGGAATTACATCACTGTTCCAACTCCCACAGCTGCAGCCATGGGGTTCCCTGGGAGAGGCAATAAAACAGCACCACTAGGAAAAAAAAGAGGAAAATACCGCTGCATTTCTCCTAGGCGATTGAAACTAGACCAGGAAATCACAAAGTGTTATTTTAAAGACATTTACGTTCTAAATCATGTAATTTGGTAGAATAATTTATCTGATGCACCATTTTTCTCTTAGAGTTATATACTGATTGTAGGCCTAATTTGTTCTCTTTATGGGATTTAATATTCTACTTCTGGGTTCAACATATTTCTTCTTTTCTAATGGTGCATATGGGCACAATGAATGTAGCACTATGTTAACTACATCTCCCATGGAGAGTGTTTTGGATTGCAGTCTTTTCAGAATCACAGAATTACCACGGCACAGAAAGATCATATCTCTATCGATTCTATTACTTAATGCCAATCTGCTGCCTTTTCCCATTTTCCTGTACACCATTTCTATCCAAATACACATCCAATGCCATCTTGAATGCCTCAATCTGCCTCCACCGCATTTCCACACCCTAACTACTTGCAGTCTGAAAAAGTTGGTTGAAAAGAAGGTTAAATCTTCTTGTAGATTTTAAGGTCCCATCTCCAAAGTTTATAACGGTAACCGATTTTGCTTTGGCAGGCAGCAGGACTCTGAAGCAACATTTTACCACTCCCTTTGTCTCTTATTCTGTGACACCTATTATCTTTAATGTCTCCCTCTTTCCAACCTACCATACAGTAGGTACACTACAACATAAAACCTTATCACTTTGCCACCTCGCTGTCTTCAGTTCCAAGACTCATGTTGGACTTGAAACATTAACTTTATTTGTCTTCCCACTGATGCTGCCCTGCAGCCAGGACTTTCTGTTTGTAATCCATTCAAGGACACAATAGCCGAGGAACTGTGTTTGTTATGTGGCCAAACAAATTGAGCGTAAAGTTGGAAATCCTTCCGTCAAATGCCAATGAAGATGTCTTGAGAGTGGAAGAGATTCCTGGCTAGCTACACGATGAAATAAAAAATCGGAACTTTGATCATCTTTATTCATAGCTTCAAGCTTCAACATGCTTGTAAGAATGTGTATTGCCACCGAATGTCAGAGTCCTTAGGTAGGAGTGCTGTTAGCTCAGTTCGCTGCTGTGGAACAGATTCAGCAGAGTTCAAGCCCCAATCTGGCTGGGGTAGATTTAGGATCTGTCTCCTTGCCCTAACTATGGCAGAGATTTGAAAAACGTATCCAAGACATTATGGTGTGCAACTTCTGCTTTTGTTCTTTCAACAACAAAGTATGCTTTTTCCAAGAAATTTTACTTTCTCCTTTCAAAACAAATCAACTTGTCAGATATTGATGTTGGTGTTGTTTCACTCATTAGCAATGTATTGAAAATGGAGTTTAATAATATTGTTCAGCTGGACGACAGCTTGCAACATATTGAATTCATCTTCTGAAGTATGTCAGTGATAACAAACATGAACTGACTCACATTGCCATATACTGCAATGATAAAGCCAAAATTAGCACTGCTATGTTGCTCGCTCAGCATCCAATTTTTCATTCTAAACAGAGAAAGTAATTAAATTTCAATTTAAAATCTATATTTTATAATATTAGCTTTTTTAAGATAAATCTTCAGCAATATTCTTCAGTGAGGATACTATGATAATTCTCATTATTTATATGTTGCTTTTGTAGTTTATCATTCACGGGCTGTACACAATACCTAATCCACACAACGGCGCTCATTTCACTGCATTTCAGTGCGCCCACATTTTGTTTATTTGATATTGAAAATGAATCAATCATTTTAAATTACCTGAGATACTGTTTCAATTTTAGTATTCAGCTTCTATTCTCTTCATTAAATAATTAGATTTGACATTTTCCTGTTCTTTTCTGAATACAGAACTCATGATTCTCAACGCATCCATTTGATTTCTCTGTATGTAGATAGTATGCAAACTTGGTGCCCTCACTTCATTACCAGGATTGTAACATGCGGCTGAGAGGATTCCATGCTGCTAGTTGACTCAATGCCACTGCTGACTGTGTCTGTGCTCAGTAGGGATGCAAATAGTATTGTACTGAGGACGTGTTGTATAGCAAGCCTACTCTCCCTAATCCTGGACAGCTCCTCTTAAATGTTGAATATAATACTGAATGTCATTCCTTGAATTCAAAATATGGAAAATGGAACACAAGGTCAGCGAAAGGGTTCTAAAATGGTTAATGTAGTGCTGGAAGTATTAACTATGGAGATGAGCAGGAGAAATATCATGGTTCCACAAGGGCAAGGAGGTCTTCAGGACTGCTCTGAGAAGGGAAAAAGAGCACGTAATTATTGTCTAAGTAATGGTTTTGAAAGGGTTAATGTTGAAAACCACATTATGCTCTTCCCAATTTGAAGATGTCACACAGCTTTGGGTGGAAAAGCAGGTTCTAGATCCTTTTAGAATCAGATGATTCATCCCTGGCTCCCACAGTCTTAGTGATTATGTCTAACTAGTGAATGTTACTTACACCTATTTTTATCATAAAATAACTTGCATCTTGTTGTTAAGACACATGCCTCTTCTTGTTAAGACCCACTAATGTTTCATCCTGTATTACTGTTAAACAAACAGGTTCTGTGACTCAGTAGGGATGCAGATTTAAAACAGAGATGAGGAGAAATTATTTCTCTTGAAGGGTCATGAATCTATGGAATTCACTTCCCCAGAGTGTGTGAATGCTGGGACATTCACTAAATTTAAGAATGAGATAGCTAATTTTTAAATTTGTAATGGGTTGAAAGGTTAGGGAGAGTGGGCAGGAAAGTGGAGATGAGACTGAGATGAGATCAGTCATGATTATATCAAATGGCAGAGCAGGCTCAAGGGTCTGAATTGCCTAATCTTGTTCCTAGT